TGTAAAGGTATGTCACATTTATCTATAATTCAGCAGTAGATGATAWTTGAGTTATTTCTAGATTTTGGGCTACTCTGAATGAATCTGCTTTGTTTTGCGGATATAKTTTTCCCTCTTTGGTAAATATCTAAAGTGATGTTGAAGGGTCATTATTACTTCACATCCTCACCAATAGTTACTATTGCCAGTATTTTTAATTTTAGTGGATGTAAACTATCATATTCAYCTTATTGCTTCGATTTGCATTTTGCAGATGGTTAATGATTTTGATCATTGTTTTACGTGTGTATTAGGCAATTTTGTATTTTTTTTTTTTTTGCCAAGTGTATGATTAAAACATTTGCTTTTCTTTTTTCTTTTTCTTTTCTTTTCTTTTTTGGTACCGGGATTGAACTCAGGGACACTAAACCACTGAGACACACCCTCAGCCCTTTTTATATTTTGTTTAGAGACAGGGCTTCACTGAATTGCTTAGGGCCTCGCTAAATTGCTGAGTTGGGCTTTGAACTCACAATCCTCTTTTCTCAGCCTCCCAAGCTCTACATCAGTTTATGGACTAGAAGACTAACATGTCATGTACCCATATGGCCCAAATTGGTCTAGATTTAGCACAGTCCTTGTCAGAATTTCAGGAAGATTATTTGTAAAAACTGTTAGTTGATCCTAAAATTCATCTGGAATTTCAAGGGCTGCCATATATTCCAAACAATCTTGGGGAAGAAGAATGAATTTGAATGACTCCTACTTTCTGGTTTCAAAAACTTATCACAAAGCAATAGTAAGTGTCTAGTACTAGGATAAAGATAGATATATAAACCAATGAATAGAACTAAGAGTCAAGAAAAACACTTGTCATTATGTTCACCAAAGTTTTGACAAAAATAGCAAGACTATCCAATGGGAGAAAGAACATATTTCAGCAATTGGGCAACCAGATAGGGCAACTAGATGGTCACATGCAAAAAGAATGAAGTTGAACACTCACCACAAACCATGTATACACACACACACACACACACACACACACATCAGTAATACAGAAATATATATATATTTTACATATACTTATAGAATATATATAATGTATTATATATTATATAACACATAATACATATTATTGTAATATATATTCTATAATATATAAGTACATACATATATGTATGTGTATATATATATATATATATATGTATGTATCTCTCTCTCTCTCTATATATATATATATATATTTCTGTATTACTGGGATAACTCTTAATAATGTCATATTATTTTTAATCCATTTTGCTAATTGTCCACTTACTATTTAGTTCCTATTTTAATAGGAAATAAGGAAATTCAGACCTGCAGTTGTCTAAGCTCTGGCCAGGTTTCATACCCACATTRCATTAATCCTAAGCCTATTCCAAATCCTAAGAATAATCAAAGGGTATTGAGACGTTCCCATGCCTCCCCTATACTGTGGAGTATTTGAATAAAAATTATCTGTTTTTTGAATATTTGATGATCTTGCTGGTAAAGCTACCTTTTATTTTTATTTATTTTTCCAGATGTTGTGAATTAAATATAGAACTTTGTACATGCTAAACATGTACATGCTAAACATACTACTGAGCTACACACTCATCCCCTATAAAGCAACCATTTCTTTTCTTTTTTTAAACAGACCATTAAGAAAACAGGTGAGTAGAGAGATAAGTTGGTACAGTTTTAATTCTAATTTCCTAATTCTTCCTAGTAAATGTTCATGTATCAGAGCCTTTAGAAAATTATAYATTTTACCTAACTTTTCAAATTGGATACAAGGTTGTTTTCTAACTTACAGAATTTCTTACATTAAAAAAAAAGAATTTCTACGATACTTTTTACTCTTATTGTTTTATTCAATTCATGGAGGAAGGATTGTTCTGCTGGACATTAGCTATTTTATTATTCTTTTCAAAAGCCAGGACTCACACTTATTAATGAATTCCTACTATTTTTGTTTGTTCCCTTGTTCAATAATATGTACTCTAAACCTTGTTATCTTYGCATTTGTTTCATAGGCACTTTTTATTGACTTTCATTCAACATATACCAAAGTGAAAAAATTCCAATAAAATCACTTTAACATTTTTAATGCTACAGAATTTCCCCCAAATTGGTCTTTACTCAAATCTGAGTATCTGTGCAAAGCACTCATTTTTTTATTKTAACTTTTGATCTATTGTGACATTTATCTTCCCTGTGGTTTTCTACTTGTGTTCTCTGCCTCTTTCTGCTCTTCCTTATCCTCTTTTGCTCTTCCTCCCCCTCCTCCTCTTGCTCCTCCATATCACCCTTCCTTCTGTGACACACAGAACTCTTCATTCCATAATTCTCTTCTACTGCTTGTTGGCAGTCCCATCTCTTTTACTTTCCTTATGGTGGTTAYTCATAAATTGTCAAACAAATAATAAATGCATTTTCCTAGAAAATTCTGAATTTAATTGGACTCTTTATACTTCTAAATAAATGTGTAAATTTTAACAGTTTTTCACCCATTCTCCTAAATGTTATTAATTTTCATAATCTCACACTTCAGTTGTTAATTAAGAATTATTATCTTCTTATGACTTATATTGCCAGTTCTTTGATAACAATAATAACTATTTTGCAATCGATACTTAGATATACTACTGTGCTTTGTGAGTTTCTTTGCTCATTTTACTTCTGTCATAGAGGCAGGCTTTGACAGAGGGGCAGAAGGTACAGAAATATACAAAACAGAGAATTGTGCTATTAAAAGAAGRGAAAATGAAATGGCAAGTGAGAAAACAAAACATTTTACTTATTTCAGTTCTGTTTCCAATATGATCTTATTACAGCTTTAAACAGAAAAAAATAAACAAGTAAATAAACTGACAGAATTTAGGGCCTTGTGTAATTTATTTTCAAGTTCAACTTTAAAAATTGATAAAAATTTGTTTTCTAAAATTCCATATTTTCTGTATAAGAATATAAAAGGGAAAACAATTTTACATATAAATATAAGTAACATACTCACTTCCAAAATCTGTTTTAATAAATCTACTGTCATTAGTATATGATTGGCCATTATAGAACACTTTTGATATACAACTATAGTTTTTATTCGGAGAAAGGCCTTCAAATTTTGCTTCTTTCTTAGAAGATGTCAAATTATCTGAAAGAAATAATTATTGCATATGAGTACATAAATATATCACATCTAACTTTCTTTTTTAATCCATATTTATGGTACTATAATATATTAATCAGCTAGGAAACCAATGCAAATGATTGAAATAGTAAGTCAAAGGTCCTGAAAATRGTTTTGCTGCACTCCAGTTTTAAGGAAACACTTAGCAAGAGTAACTTCATTTGAGAGTGTCCCTCATTTAATGATGGAAGGAGGCCTTGCCTCAGCATTCTCTGTTCCCAACTGAGATTGCACCTTAGTTAGCCTTTGCCTGGACAGACGGTTTTTAAATTGTCCATCTGTCACACGTTTGCTCTGGCTGTGCTCACACTGCTTACACTGT